GAAGTTATTTAGGACCAGCTGCTAGGTCATAGGGATGAGCGGTGGGACAGCAGGCAAGAGAATTTCAGGCAGAGAATAGGGGGTACCCTCTCTAGGGCACATGGATATATTTGACAACTAAGCTAAACATCTAATTATTTTTGCTTTTAGAATTGTTCAGACCTGGCCTGTAACAAACAAATGCCTGTAATCCCAGCACTTTGAGAGGCTGAGGCAGAAGACTGCTTAATGCCAGGAGTTTATGACTAGCCTGAGCCACCAGCAAGATCCCCTTCTCTATAAAAAAAAAAGAAAAAGTACCTGGGTACGGTCATGCACAGCTGTAATCCCAGCTACTAGGGAAGCTGAAACAGGAGGATTGCCTGCACTCAGGAGTTTGAGATTGCAGTGAGTTATAATGCTGCTGAAATTTCTGATGTGCCTTTCATTTCTAAGTGTTATTTAGTATTTTTAAAATAAAATTTTTTTGAAACAGTCTTACTTTGTTGTTCTGAGTGCTATGGCATTATAGCTCCCTGCAACCTCAAACTCTTGGGCTCCAGTGAGCCTCTTGCCTCAGCCTCCCAAGTAGCTGGGACTACAGGCATCTGCCACAATGCTCAGCTATTTTTAGAGATGAGGTCTCACGCTTGCTCAGGCTGGTCTCAAACTCCTGAACTTAGGTAATCTACCCACCTCGGCCTCCCAGAGTGCTGGGATTGCAGGTAAGCCACTGCATCTGGCAAAAAACTAAAGAATTTTTATTTCAGAATAATTTTAGATTGCTTGATTTTTAACTTTAAATTTCAAAATAATTTCAAATTTATAGAAAAGTTGCAAGTACCAAAAACCCTCAAAAAATGTCCATATATTCTTTGATCTATAATGCTTTACCAGTTGTTAACATTTTGCTACATTTGCTTTATCCACTTATACCTGTCTCTATCCTCATACCCTCCTACCTCCTCCCCATCCTCTACTTCTTCTCATTCTCATTATTATTTTTGTCAAATAGTTTGAGATACCTTGACCCCAGGTATCTGCTAAGAATAAGGATATTATCTTATAAAACTTCAATATAATGATCAGATTCAGGAAAAATAACTTGAATACTATGGTACTATCTAATACAAGGAGTCCTGGAGTTACAAACATCCAGCTTACATGCAACTGGCACTTATGAACGGAGGCTATTAGAGTCAGTCCCTGAGTTACGAACATCAGACTGATGTACGACTTGCACTTATGAATGGGGGCTATTACAGATTATAGGTAAATGTACCTGTTCCAACTTACATACAAATTCAAGAACAAGCCTACAGAACCTACCTCATTTGTAACAGGAACTGCCGGTAAATAGCCTGTATTTACATTTTACCAATTGTCACAGTCATGAGCTTTGTATTTTCCTACTTGGAGATCTAGTTCAGGATCATATCTTGCCTTCTCCTTCTTGCTCTGTCTTTTATTTTTTTTCTTTTTTTTAAGATAGGGTCTCACTTTGTCACCCAGCCTCTGGAGTATAGTGGTGCAAGCACTATAACATCCAACTCCTGGGCTCATGTCATCCTTCTGCTTCAGCCTGCTGAGTAGCTGGGGCCATAGGTGTGTACCACCATGCCTGGCTAATTTTTACATTTTTCTTTTTTTTTTTGTATAGACAGGGTCGTTAAGTTACCCCAGCTGGTCTCAATCCTCCCATCTCAGTCTGCCAAAGTCACATATTGCCTTTAATTGTATCTCCTTTATTTTATTTATTTATTTATCTATTGAGACAGAGTCTCAGTATGCCACCCTTGGTAGAGTGCTGCAGTGTCACAGCTCACAGCAACCTCCCAACTCTTGGGATTAAATGAGTCTTTTGCCTCAGCCTCCTGAGTAGCTGGAACTATAGGTGCCTACCACAATGACCAGCTATTTTTTTTGTTGCAGTAGTCATTGTTGTTTAGCTGGCCCAGGCCAGGTTTGAACCCGCCAGCTTCAGTGTAAGTGGCTGGCGCCCTGCCCACTGAGCTACGGACATCATAATTGTATCTCCTTTAATCTGGACCAGTGCCACAACTTCTTTGTCTTCATGCCCTTGGTATTTTTTTTTTTTTTTTTTTGCAGTTTTTGGCCAGGGCTGGGTTTGAACCCACCACCTCCAGCATATGCGGTCGGCGCTCCACCCTTTTGAGCCACAGGCGCTGCCCCCATGCCATTGGTATTTTTAAAGAGTACAGATCATTTGTTTTGTAGGACATCCCCTTAATGTGGCTTGTTTTTGATGTTTCTTCATAGTTAGATTCAGTTTATGTAATTTTTAATAGGCAAGTGACAACTATGTTTTTTTCAGGAGATCCCATCAGGAGGCTTACCATGTCAGTATGTCTCATTATTGGTGGTGTAAAATTTTGTTTTTTAGTGGTTTATAAAAACTGTACCTAAAACAGACATCTCCGAATGTGTTTCTACTCAGATTATATCACAAAGGGGATTAATAATGAGCTAACCTGCTTTGGGATACCTTGTTTGAATGAAGACCTCAGTGCTTAGTCTCTCTTGCCATCTCTGCATATATTTGGGCTTTGTGTAAATGTGTCATTGATTAATAGGATTGTATCTGTGCCTTGGTGTTAAAAAGGCTGAATGTAAGATTGTATAATTAACAAATGACTGCTTAGCCTTGTGAATCAGAATTTCCTTGATACCATCCAATCAAAACAACATACAAAAGTAAATTGGAATCCTGAAGCTGATTTAAGATGATTGTGAATATCCCTGGGAAGATTTGGGTTCATCAAGAGAACCTTAATAATCTCAATGCCTGATTTTACAGTAAAAATGTATATAAAGTTAATTTAAAAATTCCCTTTGCATATGTTGTATTTATGTTTTATATGTTGAGTTCTCATACAGAATGTTGATTAAAATAAGAGTCTTTTACTTTAGGCATTTGAAAATCATATTGTATCTCACTGTGGGTCCTACCCACTGCATAATTTTCGCAACCTTATCATCTGGAGGCCTTCGTGTTTCTTTTCCTAATGCCTGAGATTTCACCATCATTTTTAACACCCCCAGGGTTCAAGGAACACATTATTTACCAAGGGATTTTGGGTGTGGTTGCTCCAAAGTCCACAAAATTTGAGATATCCTTCTTTCATTTTTAAAATTCAGTTGCACTTATTTTCAGACATACCAATACAAACATTTTAGGAATTCAGCCACACTCTATGCAATCAGCTGCTTAGCCACTGACTGACCCACACAGATGACCCACACATAGGATAGTCCTACCTTATTCCAGAGGAGTTCTTCCACAAACCAGGAGACTGAGATCCAGATAGGTGTTTTCCAAGGAAGGTAAGCTATTAATGGTTGTCAGACTGCAGCCCAGCTCTGCTTATGCCAGGGGTTGGCTGGCTTTCTGATGGCAGAGGAGCTCCCTGGGGAGGTGACCAAGCTGCCTTCCTTTCTCTTGGCAAGTGTGGGTGGCTGGCAGCTGAAGCAGCCTTTGAGCAAGGTTCTTCAGTTTGGTTTACTCATCTCAAATTTAGACACAGAGTTGAAGCCCAGCCAGATCCTTGGAAGCCTCTCAATTTCCTAGTAGATTTTCTAATAGAAGGTGGTCCTAATGGAAACACAGGATCGAAGATGCATATACGCCTTCCTATTACATTTTCACTGGGAAGATGCATTCTAAGTTCTAAAAGACTTTCCCAAGCCCAACCAACATATCAATGAACTAGAGACCTTTTATAACTCATTTGATTCCATAGAACCAGTATGGATTTCCTATTTAAGTGTGCAAGGTAGTACAATAGCTACTTGGCAGGTACCAAGAGAATGTCAAGACATTTAGGACATTGTCCCATGCTCAAGAAGCTCACAATAATCCCAGAGAGATGATACAGAGACGTAGAGTGACAACTGCATTAAAACTGTAATACTCAAGTCGCATTTGACTTCTGCAATTATGAGAGGTGCTCAAATGTGACTTGTATTCATCTTTTGTTATTGATACATATTATTAGGATTTTAAAAAAGTCTTTTTCTTTCTTAAAATGTGTTTACCTCTTTTTGGCATCCTCTGTATATTTTAAACTTAATAATAAGGTAAGGTAATGTCTGATAGCAGCTCAGAAGAGTTAAGAGAATACCACGCTGTTGGCCATGTCTGTGAGCACTGGGGCTCTTAAATCAACCACCTTGCTGAAATTGCAGCTGCTCCACTTCCCAGCGGTGTAGTGAGTTACATAAGTTCTCTAAGGCGTTCAGCACAACTCTGGTCATTTTTGGTGCCCCCCAAGTGTTAGCTATTATCACTACTTCTGTGCTTGAACCGCCACTACAAGGATGGGTAGGACGTGAACGGAGGAGGAGTATGTTTCGCGGCAGGGTAACAGAATCACAATG